ACAATGTGAAGGAGAGAGAGATAGAGAGACAAAGCGAGAGAGACAGAGAGAGAGAGAGACATAGAGAATCGCTTAAGTGTTTAATAAAGAAATAAATTTATATAATGTGTTTACTTTTCCCTCGTTTATTGCTCTCACCATGTTGGTCACGTTACGATATAGCTAACACATATTAACAGAAATAATACTAAAGGGGGATTGCACGGAACAATGGTTGATGGTATGGGAGCGGGTGGGGATGAAGGGTGGGAGTGGTTGCTGGTTGGCAGGTGTGGGTCTGCCGGTGAGGACCCCTGCTGGCGGAGTATGTACCTCGCTCCCTCATTACCAGAATCTCAGTGTACGGGGAATCGTGCGGGATGAACATCTCCAACACAGCAGTAATGAGTGATTGTAGGACGAAGAGGTGATAGAGATTGAGTAAACATGCATACATTTCAATGATATTTATTTGAGCCAGTAGATGATGTGATCACAGTTAACAAGAATAATTCGTAGGTGGAGATCGCGTCTCCGTGATGATGTGAAATGTTTCTCTCTTTTAGTAAACGCTAACCTCCGGACTTTGACTGAGTATACTAAGTGAAGAGATGTGTGGTGGACTATAGAGCGGGAGAGAGAGAGAGAGAGAGAGAGAGAGAGAGAGAGAGAGAGAGAGAGAGACAGAGAGAGAGAGAGAGAGAGAGAGAGAGACATAGAGAGAGAGAGACAGAGAGAGAGAGAGAGAGAGAGAGAGAGAGAGAGAGAGAGAGAGAGAGAGATAGAGAGACATAGAGAGAGAGAGACAGAGAGACAGAGAGACAGAGAGAGAGAGAGAGAGAGAGAGACTGTGGGTCTGTCTGTCTGTCGGCAGGAGTATGTACCTCGCTCCTCCTTAACGAATCCACAGTGTATGGGGACCCGCCGCGGGGTGAAACAGTGCCAACTGTTGCATGTAATATTGACACACACTATACTAAATATGTCATGATCCCATTTCAATATTTCCGATTGCATTGATAAATTGAATTTTCATAAATTTCGATTTATTTTCATTTTGATTTAATTATTTTGCATGACATTGCGTTGGAACTGAGCTGTGTTGTTTCCATATAGTTCATTTCGTGAGTATAGTTTATTTTTTTTTTATGTTTTATTGTTTTTCATTTCGTTATTTTTAACTGTCCTTATTTTTCAGTGATGGGAACATCAGATCATTTGGAAATGCATCGGACGACGGAATGGGGAATGGTGGGGAGGATGAGGGGACGGGAGAGTGGGGGAAGGTGAGGAGGATGAGGGGACGGGAGAGTGGGGGAAGGTGAGGAGGGAGGATGAGGGGACGGGAGAGTGGGGGAAGGTGAGGAGGATGAGGGGACAGGAGAGTGGGGGAAGGTGAGGAGGATGAGGGGACGGGAGAGTGGGGGAAGGTGAGGAGGGAGGATGAGGGGACGGGAAAGTGGGGGAAGGTGAGGAGGATGAGGGGACGGGAGAGTGGGGGAAGGTGAGGAGGATGAGGGGACGGGAGAGTGGGGGAAGGTGAGGAGGGAGGATGAGGGGACGGGAAAGTGTGGGAAGGTGAGGAGGATGAGGGGACGGGAGAGTGGGGGAAGGTGAGGAGGATGAGGGGACGGGAGAGTGGGGGAAGGTGAGGAGGATGAGGGGACGGGAGAGTGGGGGAAGGTGAGGAGGATGAGGGGACGGGAGAGTGGGGGAAGGTGAGGAGGATGAGGGGACGGGAGAGAGGGGGAAGGTGAGGAGGACGAGAGGACGGGGAAGTGGGGAATGGTTAGGAGACGAGGGAATTGGGGAGAGTGGCATGGTGGAGAGGACGGGGGAACAGGGGAGGGTTACTTTTGTTCAGCAACGCTCATGCATTGCTGAGCCACAGTAACGTGTGGTTGGGTACAGCTTGTAAGTTAAATAAAAGTATATTCGTATTTTAGGTTAATTCAGTTACGTTATTTAAGTTTTGCCTCCTTTAAATAAATCTGTTCATTATTCAGTTTTGTGAATATATCTGTGGACATATATTGTGGTCTAGGACAATATAATAGGGGTCCGGGACAATACAGTTGGGTTCGGGACAATGCAGTACGGTCCAACACAATGCAGTAGGGTCTGGAGGAATGCAGTAGGGTCCAGGACAATGCAGTAGGGTCCGGAGGAATGCAGTAGGGTACTGGACAATGCACTAGGGTCCGGGATAATCCACTGGGGGTCCGGGACAATACAGTAGGGTCCGGGAAAATGCTGTAAGATCTGTGACAATACAGTAGGGTCCGGAACAATGCAGTAGGGTACGGGACAATACAGTAGAATCCGGGAAATTCAGTAGGGGTTAAGACCTGTAATGGTGCATTGTGACGTCACTCACCTTATGTAACACCATATATGAAATACTTTTACCTCATGTATTCATTAGGTGAGATTAGGTGAGGCCGGTTTGTTTATAGAGTTGATGGGCTCATACTTCTATCAGGTCTTAGACCCTACTCGAGATTTGTGGTACAATTCACGATCGGTGCCCCAAGCTGATGTTTCATTTACAATGACAAGATTGTACCATTAGTCACATTGCTGCTGTTTTTCGGCTCACTGGCGATCTATGTATTTGGACTTTGCCGAGTCATTGATGATTACTATTAATTTGTGCAATCTGTGTGACGATGGGCCGTGGGCGGGGTTTGTTGACTAGTCGAGGGTGATGGGCAGGGATAGTTAGGAAGGGTGTGCAGGGATAGTTAGGAAGGGTGGGCAGGGATAGTTAGGAAGGGTGTGCAGGGATAGTTAGGAAGGGTGGGCAGGGATAGTTAGGAATGGTGTGCAGGGATAGTTAGGAAGGGTGGGCAGGGATAGTTAGGAAGGGTGGCACAGGGATAGTTAGGAGACAGGGATAGTTAGGAAGGGTGGGCAGGGATAGTTAGGAAGGGTGGGCAGGGATAGTTAGGAAGGGTGGGCAGGGATAGTTAGGAAGGGTGTGCAGGGATAGTTAGGAAGGGTGTACAGGGATAGTTAGGACAGGTGTGCAGGGATAGTTAGGACGGGTGTGCAGGGATAGTTAGGACAGGTGTGCAGGGATAGTTAAGACGGGTGTGTAGGGACAGTTAGGAAGGGTGTGCAGGGATAGTTAGGACGGGTGTGCAGAAATAGTTAGGACGGGTGGGCAGGGATAGTTAGGACGGGTGTGCAGGGATAGTTGGGAAGGGTTAGAAGGGAAGGGATCTCTCGGGAGAAAGGCCAAGCCATTACGACTATAAAACACTTGGAAGGGGTCAGGATAAGTATTTGGTATGGGACGGGAAGGAGGGGGGAAGGAATGGTGCCCAACCACTTGGGAGGTCGGGAATTGAACGCCGACATGCATGAAGCGAGACCATCGCTCTACCGTCCAGTCCTAGAGGGTGGACGAAGTAACGTCAGGTGGTTGGTGTTAATGGTTGGTGTTTCCTTGGGACACCACGTCATCTACGAACAGTCCTCTTCCATCTTAACAAAATAAGAATAGATAATGTAATCACAAATATTTGTTCCTTCACAATTCATTGTGTCTTACAATTTATAAAAAAGATAGATGGATGACCGGCGGTACCTGGGTCCTGCTTCATCCTTCCCCCCCCAGTCACCACTCACCCACTTTCTCCCAGTCTCTCTCTCTCCTCTCTCACTCTCTCTCTCTCTCCTCTCTCTCTCTCTCTCTCTCTTTCTCTCTCTCTCTCTCTCTCTCTCTCTCTTTCCCCTTCTCTCTCACTTATTTCGCTCGCTTTTTTATTTAAATTAAAACTAGACTAGAGATCATATGAAGTGCTGTAAGTTACAAATGAAACTGCAATCTGTTATCGTACATCAACCTATCTGAAGCCTGTCCCTAGAAACGCATTTCTCTCCCCTACCACTCTCTCTCTCTCTCTCTCTCTCTCTCTCTCTCTCTCTCTCTCTCTCTCTCTCTCTATAAAATGTAATACTGTAACCCAAACAAATTCACGTTCAGCTTTTCGAGTAAGTCATGAAGGTGCGCAGGGAAATGGCGGGAGAAATTATGTAAAAATCAGAAAACACATCCACGATTTCAGTTCAGAGTTCATGAAACATGAAGAAGGTTGCTCTAGATTTTGATATTTTTGTAATGAGTGGCATTTAGACCGACCGACTAATGGCCGACCCTGAATGGCCTATGACACTCCCATACCCCCATGTTTCATAGAGGAATGTTGAGTGAGACTAGCCCCAAGACTCTGGTCTCCTATTTTGGCCAAACAGACAGACAGAGAACTTGATATTCTTATATCTAGAACAGGGTCTTTTCCTAATTATACTTAATATTACCAGAGGTATTTGCACCCATTTGTAAAAAACACAAGAACTTAAAAAAATTACAAAACAAGAGCAACACAAAATAAGAACATAGGAACAAAGGTCACCTCAGAAGATTTATTGGTCCATACGAAACAGTTCAATTTAAGTCCAGTATAGAGAATCATGAATTAGTATCTTCTATTAGGGTTCTTCTCATATAATCTTATCTATATTAAACAGTCTCCGTGGTGTAGTGGTAAGACACTCGCCTGGCGTTCCGCGAGCGCTATGTCATGGGTTCGTATCCTGGCCGGGGAGGATTTACTGGGCGCAATTCCTTAACTGTAGGCTCAGTTTAACGCAACAGTAAAATGTGTACTTGGATGAAAAAACGATTCTTCGCGGCAGGGGATCGTATTCCAGGGACCTGCCCGAAACGCTACGCGTACTAGTGGCTGTACAAGAATGTAACAACTCTTGTATATATCTCAATATATGGTAATGTTGCTATATATATACGTGCCCATCGGAGAGAATCTCAGGAAAGGGTCTTAATGTGTATTTGTCTCTTACAGGAACTGACTTAATGGCAGGCAGATAGACAAGGACTTTCTCCGCCTTCCTCCCACCCAGAACTGTCTTCCCCCTCAACCCCATGCCCCATTAGTCCTCTCACACACCCGCACCTCCAACACCCCCCTATCCACTTCAACCCCATCCCCTATTACCCCTCCCTCAGACACCCGTCATCATGCCTGCACCATCGCAGGAGTCTCCCAGGCTCATTGTTCACACGGCAATCTGCGGGCCCTGTGTCACCCTCCTAGATGAAGAGGCACCACCAACAGAAACATCAGCACCACCAACAGTAACATCAACAACAGTAACATCAGCAACAGAAACATCAGCACCAGCAACAGAAACATCCGCGTCAGTAACAGCAACATCAGTAACAGTACCATCGGCAACATTACCATCAACAACAGTAACATCGGAAACAGTAACATCAGAAACAGTAACCGTACTATCAGCAACAGTAACAGTAACATCAGCAATAGTAACAGTTACATCATCAACAGTAACAGTAACAGTAACATCAGCAATAGTAACGGTTACATCAACAACAGTAACATCAGCAATAGTAACAGTTACATCATCAACAGTAACAATAACATCAGCAGCCGTAACATCAGTAACGGTAACATCATCAACAGTAACAATAACATCAGCAGCCGTAACATCAGTAACGGTAACATCAGCAACAGGAACACCAGCAATAGTAACAGTAACATCAACAACAATACCATCAGCAACAGTAACATCAACAACAGTAACTTCAACAACAGTAACATTATCTTCAGCATCAGTAACATCAGAAACAGTAACATTATAAATAGTAACATTAGTAACAGTAACATTAGTAACAGTAACATTAGTAACAGTAACATCAGCAACAGCAACATCAACAGCAGCAACAACAGTAATAGTAACACCAACAGTAAAATCAGCACCAGTAACAGTAGAATCAGCAACAGTAACAGTAGAATCAGCAACAGTAACAGTAAAATCAGCACCAGTAACAGTAGAATCAGCAACAGTAACAGTAAAATCAGCAACAATAACAGTAACACCAACAGTGAAATCCGCACCAGTAACAGCAACACCAGTAACAACAGTAACAGTAATATCAGCAATATTAACATCAGCAACAGTAATAGTAACATCAGAAATAGTAACATCAGAAATAGTAACATCAACTACAATAACAGTAACATCAGTATCAGTAAAATCAGTAACAATAACATCAGCAATAGTAACATCAGCAACAATAACAGTAGCATTAACCTCAGTAACAGTAACAGCAGCACCAGTAACATCAGAATCAGTAACAGTAACATCAGAAACAGTAACAGGAACATCACCAACAGTAACATCAGCAATAGTAACATCAGCAACTGTTACATCAGTTACAGTAGCAGTACTATCAGGAACAGTAACATCAGCAACAGTAACCTACCATCAGCATCAGTAACATCAGCAACAGTAACAGTAACACCAGCAACAGTAACACCAGCAACAGTAACATCAGCAACATTAACAATAACATCAGCAACAGTAACATCAGTAGCAACAGTAACACCAGCAACTGTAACAAGAACATCAGTAGCAACAGTAACATTAGCAACAGTAACATCAGCAACAGTAATATCAGTAACAGTACCATCACCAACAGTAACATCAGCAGCAGCAGTAACATCCATGACAGTAACAGTAAGAGTAACATTAGAATAACGATCTTAAATAACATACTAGATCAACTGAGTAACCTCTTATAATGGCCCAAACTACTGTGCACAAGGATAAAGACTGGGAGGGAAATGAAATACTTACACAGTGTAATGCAACCCATCCTCCGAATTGACAGTACGATTTAATATTAAGTGTAATAAGTACATTTTCTTACTGTCATATACATTTCTTTTTTCAGGTTTATTAGACAATACAGATTTTATACAAAATTTTAAAATATCCTGTGTTTCTTTACAATTTATTGATATATTTTAGTTTTGTTTTATTAGTTTTATAAAACTGTAATATCAATATAGCTATAGGTTAAGTACTAATTGTTATTAAGAAGCAATAAAATTTTAAATTAATATCTTCAAAAACTAAGACGGTTAGGTGAGGGTGTGGTTTTCTATTCAGTTTTTCAGGTAAACTCAAATATTCAGAATATATTTGACAGTACGATTTAATACTAAGTGAAAATAAGTACAATTCCTAACTGCCATGAATAGTACATAATTGCGCTTATTTGTCTCCTTACATTTGCCACCCCATTTTTGGAGGACGGGTTGGTGTAATCACCAGTAATATATCATAGGCATCACATACACCAAAACAACATGCATACAGCTAAGAATAAAACATATGTGACTGGTCCAGTCTTTAGGACTAAAGTCAAATTTAGACACAATATAACATGAATTAGTTAACACTCCTCTAGAGAACTTCCGTACTTGAAACTCAAAAGAATACCATTACAGTAAACCAAGACTTAATGGGTAGACTTAACTAGCTGAGCTGCGCTCAATGGGGGTTAATCATTCCGACTCGCCACTCTGTGTCAACTGACAAAAATCCCGCTCTTGGGCCTACAACAGTACCAACACTTAGGAGACAATAAGCCTAGTAAACTCAAAGACTAACTGTATATCTTTATCCCCCAAACATTCACCTGAAGTTACTAAGTATAACAGTGCTGGCAATTTATCTGCTCAATTCACGGGCTCACCATAGCCCGTGCTACTTGGAACTTTGTTCCAGGTAGCGAATCGTTAACAACAATCTGCTCAATTCCACAGGTAAGCAATTATGTCTACATAACATAGGAATAACTCAATACATGTGGATAGTATAAAATTTGTAGGCGGCACTGACCGGCCAACCTAAATACCCTAGTTAATTACACATTCTATATAAAATACTCATAGCCAAAACTAAGGAGTGAACATACAATCCCAAGTGACGAGTAACTGCTTCAACTATGAAACAAAGAAGGCTGCCAATTTAATACTAACATTATACATGATATTCCAGTAATTATAACACAAGAGTAATTGTTCAACAGAAAGCCGCATGGCGAACACGTGAACACGTGACCTGAGTGACTCACGTTATCCAACATAACATAGTAATCACTATGTTGAATAATCACTGTACAGGATGGTAACATATATGTCCTAATGAGAATTATTACATATATGTAATAGATGATGCTAAAGTCTCACAACTCAAGTAACATACAAACATAAGCCAGATCTCTCATGAACCAAGCCAACACTGTAGGGTTGGTATCCCTGGTGACCACATCAGGTCACTGCCATCCCAGGGGAGGCCTGCACTACCACACAACACTCTAGGGTTGGTACCCCTGACGACCACATCAGGTCACCACCATCCCAGGGGAGACCTGCACTACCACACAACACTCTAGGGTTGGTACCCCCAGACGACCACATCAGGTCACCACCATCCCAGGGGAGGCCTGCACTACCACACAACACTCTAGGGTTGGTACCCCTGACGACCACATCAGGTCACCACCATCCCAGGGGAGACCTGCACTACCACACAACACTCTAGGGTTGGTACCCCTGACTACCACATCAGGTCACCACCATCCCAGGGGAGACCTGCACTACCACACAACACTCTAGGGTTGGTACCCCAGACGACCACATCAGGTCACCACCATCCCAGGGGAGACCTGCACTACCACACAACACTCTAGGGTTGGTACCCCAGACGACCACATCAGGTCACCACCATCCCAGGGGAGGCCTGCACTACCACACAACACTCTAGGGTTGGTACCCCTGACGACCACATCAGGTCACCACCATCCCAGGGGAGGCCTGCACTACCACACAACACTCTAGGGTTGGTACCCCTGACGACCACATCAGGTCACCACCATCCCAGGGGAGGCCTGCACTACCACACAACACTCTAGGGTTGGTACCCCTGACGACCACATCAGGTCACCACCATCCCAGGGGAGGCTGCACTACCACACAACACTCTAGGGTTGGTACCCCTGACGACCACATCAGGTCACCACCATCCCAGGGGAGGCCTGCACTACCACACAACACTCTAGGGTTGGTACCCCTGACGACCACATCAGGTCACCACCATCCCAGGGGAGGCCTGCACTACCACACAACACTCTAGGGTTGGTACCCCAGACGACCACATCAGGTCACCACCATCCCAGGGGAGACCTGCACTACCACACAACACCAAGCGAAAACCAATAAGAGATCTGACAGTATGCCATGTAATTACCATTGGAATGTAAAATATAGAATATGATCAATAATTGTGTACTCTATGGGTTTGTGAGTCCCATGAAGGACCCTATATAGACTAGGGGTAGAAATAGCCTAAGCTATTCTATCCTTTTGAGATGTACTTCCTTTTCTCAATAAACTTACTTGAACTTGACCTTGAACCAAACTTATCACACTCACACGCACGTACTCACCCTCACTCATATATTCATATCATACAGAATAAATCAATTAAATACCTGAATTTACCCGAGGGTCATGTCGATGAGGACATGAAGCCAGCGGGTAGTCAAAGGTTCCCCATTTTCCCTGATGATCTTTTCCAGCTGTATTTTAAACAGCAGCAGAGTTTTGGCGTTTACGACTTCAGCGGGTAGGTAGTTCCACAGGTTTATAACGCTATAGGTGAAAAAGCATCTTCTGATTTCTGTCCTACAGTTTGGCTTGTTGAGCTTGAATCCGGTGTTTCTTCTTCGAGTTACATCTGACCTTTTGAAGAAATTAACATCTATGGATCTACATCACCAAATTGTTAAGTACTTTAAAGGTTACGATGAGATCCGCCATCGATGAGATCTAATACGAGACATGACTAAGCTCTGGTATGATTTTCGTTGCCCGGTGTTGCACCTTCTCCAGAGCAGCTATGTATTTCTGAAGATGAAGTCTCCATGCCTAGATGCAATAATCCAGGTGGGGGCGCACCAGAGACTTATACAATTGAATGATTACTTTCTCTTCCTTGAATTTTCCTTGAAGATAAAGATGCGCTTGATTATTTCCAGAATTTGGCTCGTTTTTTTTACTACTGCTCCCCACTTGTTGTGTAACTGTTGTGAATGATGGATTCTGACTTCAAGGTCCTTTTCTTCATCTATCTGTTGTAAGGTAGTGTTGTCAATTTGATGGTTGTGACTTGGATTGGTGTGTCCCACATGCAAGATCTTGCATTTATCGACATTAATTAAAAAGCATTTATCAGTCATTTGACCATTCTCAATATCACTTTCATTTGCACTTTACCATATACCTTAGTCTCATGTATTTGCAAATTTGATGATGTGGTTTGTAATATTCTCATCTATGTCATTGACGTATGTGACGTCACTGACATTGACGTATGCCCGAAACGCTATGCGTGCTAGTGGCTTTACAAGAATGTAAATTCAACCTGATTTCTATGTTCTCTGTTAACCTCCAACGTACCTTCTTGTAAATAAATAAATAAATAAATAAATAAATAAATAAATAAATAAATAAATAAATAAATAAATAAATAAATAAATATAACAAAAAGGATTGGCACCAAAATGGACCCTGTGGTACCCCACTTTGCACATTTCCCCAATCAGATTCATTCCCAACTGCACGACCCTTTGTTTTCTGTTTTAACCATTGTTTTATTCATTAAAGTATTTTCCCATTTATTTTATGTTCCTGTAATTTCCTTGCCAGTCTCATTTGGTATCTGTTCAAAAGCTTTAGCAAAGTCCATGTAAGCTACATCTACCGGAAGTCCTTTGTCTGAATTGCCGGTTACCGTTTACAGAAATGTGAGCAAGTTAGTAAGGCAGGATCTATTTTTTAACAAACCCATGTTGAGTTGATTTTACAAGATTTTTCTCTGTGAGATGTTGTATGATTCCTTCCGTTTGGATTCTCTCCATGAGCGTGCAGATGTGATGTCAAGCTGATTGGACGGTAGTTTTCTACCGAGCTCTTCCTGCCTTTTTTTTTAAATAGGGGTAACATTTGCTTATTTTCATTCCAATCACATCCATCGAATCACTCCATCGTGATCACACGATGAAGTGAGCTTTTTCCCTACTTGAATTTGATCGACAATGCCCTCTTGTGTTGCTAGCACAAGGTCCTGAATACTGTTACCTCGAGTGGGCTCTACAACATGTTGTATAAGAAATGAGTCCTGCACCAGGTCTAAAAATTGATCTGCTTGTGATGCTAGAGTTTTCAAATCTATTGCCTCGTGGTTAAAATCGCCCATTATAAGAGTTTGGGTTTGTAACGCAGCAGTGATCACATTATGCAGATCAGTAACTTCCTTTACTGTTGCTGTGTCAGCCCTGTAGCATACTCCCACCGTCAGTGTTACCATCTTGTTCTAGTATATTGCACCATACAGACTCTGAGGATCCCATGGTGTTCAGTTCCTCATTTGTGGTTGCATTCTAGTCCTCCTTCACATAAAGCAATACACCACTTGCTCTTGTTGTTCTGTCCTTTCTGAACGGTGCCTTAGGGGGGAGGACTATCGCTTCAATGATGTCCTCTTGTCCCCATGTTTCAATTATGCCAGTGATGTCTGGAGTCTCATCTTCAGTATATGCACACAATGCTTCAAATTTATTCACCAGGTTAATGGTATTAGTGTAGAAACACTTTAAAATTATTTCGTTGTTACAATTGGGCTGAGAGATAGCTCCTATATTCTGTATATTATTATTCTGTTCGTTGTCAAACTGGTTTTGCGCCTGTTCGTTTTTCGAGATAAATAGGGTTAGTTCTGCCGGGCTGGGTGGAGGACTACGTCCTTACACGAGCGCGTTTCGTAAAACTTATTACATTTTTAAAGACTTTAGTTTACACATACACAACTGAATAGAACTTACACATCTCCGAT